GTGGGGAGGGGGAGGAGGGATGGTCATTTGGCTATATTGTCTATGGCTGTGCTGGAGGGTATCCAACAACTGACACACACATGTTAGGGGATGTGGACGTTCCAAAGGAAGGACAAGTTGGACAGGGATACCTGAGCGTGGCGATTATCAGGCTGTCATTGATCATCTCATGGAAGGAAGCAAATACCCCAAGCCATCTCATTTGATTATCAGTGTAAGGTCATGGATGATGATAGCGGATAAAGGGAAGATTGACAAGTGGGTGGTTTTATTTAGGGATATTCATTCGGCAGCATGATAGCAGCATCCATGGCACCACCTCAACAAGGCGATGTATCTTGTTCCTATCTACTCATCAGCTATCCACTCAATGTACAATGGGCTCTCGCCACTGTCAAGTCATCTTTTTTCACATCCAAGGTGGATGAATTATTGGCATCACGACAAGCATTCGTCATTTACGGTGGCCATGATCAATTCACTGGTATGGGATCGTATCAAGCATGGATCAGCAAGAAGCGAAAAGACAATAAGCAACTGGAAGCGACGCTTGTACCCGAGGCGGATCACTTTTGGTTCGGGATGGAGGATACTTTGGTAGAAAAGGTCAATGATTGGATATCAAGAATATTGGCATAAAAGCGGATTACTACTATCAATCAGTGTGATGTTTGCGCGATTGGGATGGTGTGGTTTTCAATGCTGCAACTGAGAACACATGTGTTAAATACTACGTTTCATGGATATCAGTTGTTTGAACAAGACTATTATGACATAAAGAAAATGCTAGGGTATGTACAAATGGAGGATGGAAGTGGAGTGGGATGGGATATACATATGACCAAGACAACGACGGGGGATAAAGGTGATTATGGGTAATAAGGTGGTGGTGGCAGAGGGGCTTGTTGATGTCGCTCCAAAAGTTGGCGATGAAGATGGATTTGTTGCATAGAAGGACTGACCAGAGGTTCCTTGTCGGTTGTTTGCTGATGGGTTTTGGGTGGTAATTGAAGTTGGTTGTCCTCAGCATCATGGTGATAATCTTGTGCAAACTGATTGAAGCGATGCATGGATGTTTCCTGGATGTCGTTGTTGCTGAGGGTGGTGCTAGCGGTGTGTCGTTTTTCACGTGCAAGCCTTCTTCTTCGACGACGGCACATGATAAAGGCTGTGACGCTCACGAGTGCAGCTCCTGCAATGCCAAGCACAGCGGCAATGACATGGACCACGTTGAATGCTGTTGTATGATGTGTTGGTTTCTTGAAGGTATTGCCATCCTCACGTTTGTAATGCTTTCGTTGTTGTTGATGGGTTGTTGTTGTTGTGGTCGATAATCGCTCACATATTGACGATCCATTGGAATGTACAAAGCATTCAAGACCAGGTGCACAGACCTTTCTCGAATAGGCCGTGCTGCTGTATTGGCTATGTGATGAAGAGGTGGAGGAGGGTGGATGCAATTGACATTCTTCGCCAAGCATAGCAAATGGAGATGCAGTCATCTTTTTATCATCATAAAACACGGGAGGGATGTCAGGGCTTATGATGATCCACCTATCCATAAAAGGGACTATTCGTCAGTAATTATAAACAAAGATTAAACGTAGTAAACAAACAAAGCATATTGTTTCAAGCGACATACTGTTGTGCATTGTTGACAAGGGGTTGGCAATTGGATGAATGCGTATTGGGATTGAAGATGCAAACATCATTTACACGAGGACACGGCCATGCGCATTGATGTTGTGTTGGAGCTGTTAATGCTATTTGGGGTTGGAATACAAAGATGGAGAAGAATGAAAGAACAATAAAAAGAAAAGACATTGCATCTCAAAGAGCCATGTGGTAGTGCAAGGTGAGAGAGAGAAAGAGAAAGAGAAAGCAAAACAAGAGGTATAAATATATTGTTGGTGTATCGATGTAAAAGAAGAGACGGACGCTCTCAATGAACCCACTGGTTCCATGTTTAGCAAACAAATGAATGATCCACCATGAAGAGAAAGGAAGGAATTTCGAGCCAAGCAAAATGGAACATCTGGAAGCTCACGCCGCGTGCAGTAATGATCCGCACCACCCCACCTCTCAAAAATAGGGTGTCACCAACTCATTCTTGTACTTTTTTCCACTCCACTTCATCGCCATGGCAACCTTACCTTGCTAATCACCATGACAATCCACTCTCCATTGCTCACCATCGTGGTCACCCATCGTGTTACAATCCACCTTGTCACTTGTATATCAATAGAAATTGCCCCCCTGAAGGATGTTGATGATGTCTCCAATAAAATTGGAAGGATACAGAAGCATGAGGTGTCTCAATGGATGTGTATATGTGTAACCCTAGGCCTCATTGACTTGATCTGTCATAATGCTACGTTTATTGACATTGAGCCTGTACATAAGCTTGGGTCTGAATGCGTGTGGGATGTGATGATATCAGTGTGGTCAATATCCCTAATTGTTTGCAACCCCTCTTTTTCTCTCCTAGAAGGATGCAGCAATCATCAACAGCAGCAGCAAGTGAACAAGAAGATGACTATGGACATCCATGCATTACCCCCTTTTTCTTGCTTTCTTTTGCTTTTCTTTCTTTGTCTTCCTTTATTAAGCTGATGCTTAAACGTTTCCAGTCATTGTTTGTCAAGGATGAAAGATTGCCTAATCACAGAACCAATAGCAGCAAAGTGAAGCTTCCTCATAGTTGGTATGTGTGTTGGGAGCATAGTCTTCGTTAGATGACATCACTCAATGATCCCATATTAATGAATAATAGCAGCACAGGATATGTCAAAGAACCGCTACTTGATAAACCCAACAAGATCGGCATTGAGCCTTGTGTCACGACGAGTACAAGCAGCAATATCAGCACCAGCAGTAGAATCAAACCAGCCGATATTGACAAGCACGTACAAAAAGGAATCGAGTTTCATGAAATCGGTGAATTAGAAAAGGCCACGCATCATTTTCGACAATGTGCCAAAGAAGGTTCGCCTATCGGCATGTTTTTGTACGGCATTTCTTTACGACATGGATGGGTGAGTACGACGGCGTATCCCACATGCAATGCACCTACTGACATAGAAATGGTGCATTAGGGCTGCAAAGCAAACAGCGCACTTGCCTTTCAATACCTACAAAAAGCAGCCGAATATGCAGTGAGCGGTTTAAAGAAAAGCTGTGATGGTAAGAAGAACGACTATGATGCTCTATTTGCGTCGAAAAAAGGTGAACTAGTGATTGCGATATACGAGTTGGGAGTAAGCTTTCAACAAGGCTGGGGAGTCTCTCGTAGTCGGGAAACGGCATTCTATTACTTCAAGATTGCAGCACAGCTTGGTGATGCCGATGCACAAAATGAAGTTGGCCACTGCTATTACCATGGTTTTGGCACCAAAAAGGATCAATTCCAGGCAGCAAAATACTATCGGATGGCTGCCGAACAAGGTCGTGGTTTGATGGGCAATTCCTGGATCTTCAAGTCAAAATACGATAACGTAGTAGTAGAAGAATAATAGTAGATCTCCTTTATCAATTCATCCACCATCCCTTACACACACACACACCACGCTATTACTATTCACACACACACACTCGATCATTACACCTCCCTACTTGCCATATACATAATTGTAGGTCACTGGTTGGCCATAATTTACATATATTTACAATGCCAAAAGATAACTTTTTTTTATTGTTAAGACATTTGGCTCAAAGTATCAGGGGGATATTTCGATTGTGCAAAAGTCATTAAACGCTTGACGGATTGAATCCATTTACGTGAGGTCTCGTCGTTTAACACGTGGGCAACTTGGGATGCGAAAATCTTTTCACGTGCAGAACGCTCGTGAATACTATAGAAATGTTCGTCAATCAATATCCCGTTTAGTATTCTTGGATTTCGCTGACTTACCCAACCATGGTGACACCAATGGGCCATGGTGCATTACCGATAGACAATTGAAGGTAAGAATCCTGAGCATCACGGTATCGACGATGTTGCATATGGTGAGTGATCTCAGCTACGCGTGCCAAGATGTCTGGTTCCAATGTCTATGATGCATACATTGTTAACACTCGCTCCTCTAGTAGTGAATCCTTCCTATGACATACCCGCTTCTTGAGTTGTCGTAACAATGGCTTCATATAATCGGCGGTTTGCTTTTGCAGTACGGCTGCTCGCTTTCCTTGCCCGCTTTGTTTTTCTTCCTCGGGCCGTGCATCCATAAACTCTTCCCATTCATCCATTGTGTGCTACAACAAGAGGAGAACAATCAGATTCCATCTTTTCGGTAATCCATATTTTCCCAACTTACCACCAGATAGGAATAGATTTGTGCAAATAGTCGATCCAAATCACTTTGCAATAAGTTGAGATCAATAGGCTCCACGATCAACTCTGCCTTTTTGAGCTTCTTGTTGATTTTCTTCTCATCTCGTACACCCGCCTTTTGTTTCAAAGCTTCCAAACGCATGCCTTCCTCCATTTCTTCCAATTTACGCATATAGTCGTTACGTTGACCTTGCTATTGTTCATGATTCAAATTAGACACACATAGGTTGTTGCCATATACCATAATCCCTTTCCATACCTCTTCTGATTGCTCTTCCATCAATTCAAGTGCACGTAAACGAATCTTGCACTGCTTATCCGTTTCACCGAAAAGACGAATAGGTTGACCCTTGGCTCGCAATCGTCGAATAACTTCCTCACGGGTGATATTGAATGTCTCCACTTCGACCTATAAGGAGATGTTAATATGAGTGAATTCCACAAGGATTATGGATTTGATATGATGCTACCTCTCCATCCGTCTTGTTTTGTTCGCCAGTGTTCTTTGCTTGGGCCTTTTCCTGCTCACGTCTCTTGGCCTACACTCTTCATATTAGTCCTATTGTTGATAGTCAACTTGAGGCTTTTCCTTACCTCTTCTTCTTCCTGTCGTTTCCTCTTTTTCTATATATATGACAGGTCGAGTTGAATAAAAGTGGTTGCTATAAACAATAAAAGGGATAGTGGGCATACCTCCAACTCTTTGGCTTGTTGTTCAGCTTCTTGTCGAAGATACTCCTCTTCACGCATTCGCTCTAATTCAGCTCGGCTGACGTACTTCTTTTTGGCATTGCCGTTCTTGGCTGTCTCCAATGTCTTGCGTTTCTTTGAGATTTCAGCGTTGATGGCGTCGTTGAGGAAATCCATGGTGGTGGTTGTGGTGGGAGATAGGTAACGATTGAGATCAAAAGAAGGAAGGACGAGTAGGAGAGGACTCCGACGCTTGCTTTGTCTTTGACCATGTCAGATCAACCTGCCAACCCAATCACACGCAACGATGCGGCTCGTGTCGATATGGATCCTGAACGATTGGAGCAGCACATTAAGCGGGCACAGGAAGCGATTGCCAATGACAAGAAGGAAGTGCCGGAATTTTGGGTCAACAAGTACAAGCGAGAAGCAGCCAAAAACTGGGACCTCTTTTACAAGCGTAACACCAACAAGTTTTTCAAAGGTGAGTTGGATGGATCGATGAATGAATGAAAAGGTTCTTAAACATGCTGCGTATAGACCGGCATTGGACTGACCGAGAGTTTGAGGAGCTTGCTTACAAGGCTGATCAACAAGAGCAGGTAAAAAGTGATAGTATCACGTGATCTTTTCTCAAAGGCTGATCAATGGGAATAGCTCAAATGCCTCGAAGTTGGTTGTGGTACTGGCAGCTTTATCTATCCAGCTTTGGCAGAGAATCCCAATCTTTTCATCTATGCATGCGATTTCTCCAAACGAGCTGTTGACTTGGTCAAGGTAAAAGGTGGTGGTGACATGTACATTGGAAAGAAGGAGGCTGATATATATAAATGTATATAGAGCAATGAGCAATATCAAGAAGGCCGATGCAAAGCATTCACTTGCGATTTGACGGCGGATGCATTGACGGATAATATTCCTGCCGCTAGCTTGGATTTGGTATCAGCATTGTTTGTATTCTCAGCCATCCCATCCGAGAAAATGGAAGCAGCCATCAAGAACATATACAAAGTATTGAAGCCTGGTGGATGTGTGCTTTTCCGCGATTATGGTCTTTACGATGAGGCACAAATCAAGTTTAGCGTGGCATCGGACAAGAAATTGGATGACAACCTTTATGTGCGACAGGATGGTAAGATACGTATACCTTTGGTATCATGGTGGTGGTTGCTAATGGTATATTCGATCATTAGGCACCATGAGCTATTTCTTTTCAGTGGAAGATCTTGCATCACGATTCGAATCGGCTGGTTTCAAGACCCTCAAGAACGATTATATCTACCGTGAGACCACCAACCGGAGGCTCGAGATGAATGTGGATCGTATCTTTGTGCAAGCCAAATTCCAAAAGCCATTGTAAATTGGACATCCATTCTCTCTTTTGTCATTTTAATACCAAGTCATTGTGTATAGACTAGTAGTACATGCATTTACAATATATAAAACTAGACGGATGAATCGAACCCATACTTTTCACACAAGACACGAAGTTTATCCTTGAGGGAATCCAATGTAAGATAGGTTCCTTTGAGATGGCGATCACCACTGGTTGGATCAAACTCGGTTCTTCCATGGAGGACGCGTCGATTGGCAAATAAGACTACGAAATGATACACCCAAATTAGCACTTTTCGCTTCTCCAAATAGCTATTTTCTTTACCTAATTGACCAGGCTGTAAAGTCAACTCGTAGCGTAGCTTTGGATCCTCGACAACATCAGCAAAGCGTTGGAATGCTTGATAGAAACGTTTGGCATCCTTGGCGGAAAGATGATCCATTGGGCCTTGGAAAGGAGGAGCGTAATTGACATGCATGTTCCATGCTGGACCACTGCTTTCATCCTCGCCAACAACAATAGTAGGACGACGATAATACATATGATGACCATCATTCACGTAATGGAAGGTCACGGGAGTCTTTGTCAAAATCTCATAGTCTTCAGGATGCTGTTCCTTGAGGATCTTGGCAGCATGATACGAATCCACAAAGATGCTGGAGCCACCCGTGACCGAATTCTTCAAACTATGCAAAAGTTGAATGCCTGGTGGACAATCCAAATACCTATGGTAAAAAGAATGTATCAATGATCACGTGTTATTTCCCTGATGGTGATTTCTGCTTACATCAGATCCATATGGAATCCCAAATAAAGGCTTGTATAAGCAATGTTGCGTGAATTGGCGATGCTCTTGACATCAAAATCACGACCATAAAAAGTTTCCTGCACCGGCCCAATGCGCTCTGCCACCTTGGTCACACTATCGTCGTTGAGCGGCACATTGTCGAGAAAAACGAGTCCCGAGTTGTAGAGACGCTGAACAACTTGATGTAAACCTTGGTCGGTATTCATGTAATCGTCATAGCTGATCCACTTGAGCTTGTAGTCTTGGGCTTCCCAGGTACGGTGCTGGATATGGTTGAACCGATAAAACTCGCTGTTTTCACGTGAAGCGTAGCGTTGTAACCATTCGATCGGATACTGGCTCACGTGCTGTTCACCTTGTTGTTGGTGTCGCAAAGGCATGTTCCACACAACTTCAGCAACAGAATCCTTCAATGTCACTGACACGGGTTGTATCTCCAACGGCACATCAGCAGTGGAATGGAGTTTTTGTCGGTTGCTAGGATGCACGCATTGTCCACATTGGCAATTGTCGCGCAGCCACACATAGCTGTAATCGCTCTCGTTCACCGTACTTGCCGCCAAAGGTTGCCACTTTACATGCAAATTATCAGCATCGATGCGAGTCGAAACAATGGTTGTCGCTTCCTGTGTATTGCTTGGTTGAGCCGCAGTGTTTGTGGTGACGCTTCGAATTTGATGGTGCCAGTGGGTTGCCATGGCAGGCAAGACACGACGAGTTCCGGATAAATTGCCGATGCGAACAGGGCCTGCATGGGGTGCTGATAAGGATCGAGCCAAGAAGCGAAGCGACATTGTTGAATATACAAGAAACGCAAAAGAGATGGTTAGTCAGCTATGGGTTCCTGGATGCGGGTTTTTAAGGAACGTGGGGTACCACTGGTGTCACCGAGTACAAGGAAACCGTCATATCAAAACCCCCCCCCCATGCCATCTATTATAACTTTTCGCGGGGTAGCTACATGATTGTATCCTTCATCAAACTAGGTGATTAGATTTTACCTTAATAAAAGAGTCCATATCATAACGACAATGATGACAATGAAAGGGCAAGAACAAACAATGAAACCTTAATACGACGATCATCACAAACATAAACACATGGGTCGCTCTCAATGATGATACTCACCAAGGGCTTTTGAAGATGTCAGCAATCAAAGAAATGTGTGGGAGAAAGCCATGTCAACCACAACAACATTCATCTTGTAGATGAATGCAAGGTGGGCGTGGGTATTTCTGTGAGCTCAAAGAATAATGATGAGCTGATGAATTGATGAAGAGTCTCTACTGAGAGCCTTGGTGTGATTGAGTGTGCATGCATAAATCAGGATCCGTGATAGACAAGTTCATCCAAACAATCACTTGTTGCTATGCTAAAGTTTCATGTTGTTCGAGATGTCTGTATGAGTGTTCATTTCGAAAAGGAAAACCCATTGCATCTTCATAGTTACTAAGCATAGTATACAAGCGTGAATGTTATTGCAATGATGCATGTATGCTATCAGCACATGATGACATATGTCGTTCCCAAAGGTCGTACTACTATTCCTTGTGTCATGAGACATCTTCTGTAGTCCCGTGTCAGCTGTCAAATAGGTCACTCAAAAAGCTCATAGATTCTCGTACACCATGCTGATGGCTACATTTATTGATAGTAGATCGGTATTATTACGCAGCATGACGTGTATGCATGTATTATTGTATAGAGGAGTTTAACCCTAACGATACAAGAGGTAGCACAGGTAGATGTTGAGGGATGCATATTTCTACATGTAAGCCCTTAGGATAAAAGGTCATCCGGAAGCCGTGTCAAACTAATCTCGGAGCACAAAGTAAAGGCAACTAAGAGTAAACCCTATTATCATAAAGCCAACACAGCCTGTGCAACACAATGCAATGCCATCATAGCCTTTTCGTTATCCATTATTACATACATCACTGCTATGGCGCAACTATCAACGACAACAATGCTGTAAAGCTTTCGTTCAAGATATATTGATATAGTACATTATGATGATCGCTGTTACGAATTTCTATGGTACTAGCAGCTGTCAAGGCGGGATTAATGGATGACGGATTGTCGTAAGGTTTCTGTTTCATTTGCATCAAGGAGCAGTAATTTGGCGAGTACTGGAACCATGAACTACAAGTCGCATTAGAACGTTGATTGTGATGTCGACAAATACAGGTTTGCATACCTCTTTGTTTTCTGTTTGCATGAACTTGAGGAGCACGTTCTTTAGATATTCGATACTCAAATTTTGCCTTCGATCAAACGAATCCAATTTCCTATAAGGGTTGTGTGAGAAACCCATCATGCCATATCACATGTTGAGCTTACCTTATTTCATCCTTCAAGACCTATATGCCATGGCACAACGTTAGCAATTGAACATCCATTTGTATATGACTCCTCTCTACGTTACCTTCTCTTGAGCCCTTAATGCCGATACACGATCCTCGCTCTCATGAAGCATCACACTGAGATGTTGCACCTTCTTCTCCAAATCAACCTTGTTTTCTGATCCTCCAACCAAAGGCGATAATAAATGGCTCATGGATGCTATAACAAGATTGTTGTCAGTGTTCCTATCCATTTGCTAACTTCGTTCCCATATATCAATAACTCACCATATACGTCGACGCCATCAGTTTCATCTGGTTCCTTATTATGGCTTGATTGATTTTGTGAAGATGGCTGGGGCTGTTCTTGTGATGATGATGATGATGATGTCGGCAAACTAAGCAGCTTCCTCTTGCAATCTTGCAATTCATTCTCCTTTTCCATTATCTGCTGCCGGAGTGACGCATTCTCATCATAGAGCTGTTCGGTAATGCGATGCATCTCTTCATGTTCCTCTTGTCGCGTATTCGGTACTTGAGAAGGTGATGAGGTGTCGTCTGAAGGCTTTCGTTGTTCCTTTGCATCCAAAAGCTCCTGCAACTGCTGCATTGTCTCATTGTGGGTATGCTGTATGCTTTTCATTGCTATGGGATACGAGATTATTAACATGTTTGTTCCTCTCTCTCCTTTTCCTTTCACTTTTGCGTACCTTTTTCATGGGCTTCCTTATCCGATGCCATTTGCTCCTGCAATCGAGTAATCTGTGCTTGCTTGTGGGCATTGTCCTCACGTACTTTTGAGAGCGCTTCATTGTCAGCTTCAAGATCACGTATCCTGGCTAATGCTCGTTGTATGTCATGTTCCAAAAGTTCCATTTTCCTCGAGCTTTCAGCCTTTTCGGTCTCCAATTCACTAAAGACGCATCGGCTTAATTTCTTATCAATGAAATCAACTTCCATTATACTTACGATTTCTCCATTTGTAGCCGTCGTACAGTGGTTTCCAATTCATTGATGCGTGTAGAATCACCCTGGCTACCAGCATTCTTTTGTAACAATTGTGATGCTCGCTTCTTGTACTGCTCGTAATCGGTACGTGTCTCTTGTAGCTGTGATGTCAATTGTCGTACTTTGGTTTCCTATCATGGATAGAAAAAACCACTTAATGTCCCATCTTACACCTTATTTACATAATGCATCTCGTTTACCAGTTGCTTGATTTGCGATCCGTACAAAGCCTTTTGGCTATTCAGCTCTGATCCAAGCTTTTCAGCATCACCTGATGAACGTTTATAAGAATAAATGTTTAAAAACGTTGAGCTCGTCATCATCACTTACGATCTTGTGCTTCGGTATTGGCTCGAAGCTCTTGTTCTCGAACTTGTGCTTGGCTAATGTCATCCTTTAGACGCTGAAGCTCCGCATCCTTGGCTGCAATCGATGCTCTGTATCCATCAAGGTTCTTGGTGGCCTGTGCAAAGATCTCTAGAATAAAGGTGTTTAATGATACGGATCCTCCCCTTTGTTTGGATCAGCTTGTCCAATGCTTCCTTACCTCTCATCTTTTTCATCTTCTCATCATGTTCTGCTAAAGCGATGTATATCAGCGTTGATTCAATGAATGATTGTTATTGCTTACAAGTGCGTGCAGCCATGTTATCTTGCAGTCTGCTGATTTCATTTGCCTTGTCGGTGAGCTGATATTTGAGGTCCTTGACCTATATACATGGTCTCCCTTGTTATAACACGTCTATCACCAAGGGTATGTTTATGCCGTACCTGTTCACTCAGTTGAAAGTTTGCTTTCTCCAGGTCATGAGCAGCTACCGTTCGACGTTGTGAAGGACTTCGTGTTGGCGACTGTGGGGTAAAAGAGAATGAGACGTGTGCTGTTTCGCGAATGCAACACCACCACCACTCACCTTGACACGCGATCTGTTGGCTTCAACATCAGCACCGAGAGGATCATCCTTGTTGACGATTTGAGTCTTTGGCTGAATGGGGGAGCTGGAAGTGGAGGATGGTTGACTAGCAGCCATTACAGCTGAGAAAAGAAAGAAGGTGGTAAAGAGGTTCAAGCAAGAAAATCCCGCTGCACACAATAAGACACATGTGATTCCCGCCAGATTTGCACAACCTTATGTTATTCATGCATCTCCCTTCATCATTACATGTCTTCCCCGAAAAGAATAAAACTATCGATCCATCAACGATAACTTGGATTGCCACCTTGAATTTGATTGTGCTTTGGTGGCGATATCTAAAAATCAAGAGATCGAAACGCTCCATTAATCGCAATGGCATTAGATTACTACAGTAGTAGGATACAACTTTTATATCATGGAAGCCACGAACAATGTTTGAAGAGCTTGCGGACATTCTACATATGCATGTACTACTACACGTATGCTACCAATACCCATTTGGAGTTGGTTTCCCCTACGACAATCGTAAGAGACACATACAGGATTCTGTTTTGAGAAAAGGCGGTGGGGCTTATATTCGGCAGCGATATCATCTACATAGGCGTTTGTGGTGTGGTTGATACATAGATCCAATAAAGATGTAGGAGCAATTGCTACTTTATTCCTTTTCGTAGTAACGATGCCTAATATTTAATAAATGGAGTCACAAGATATGGATGGGTGCATGCAAGCATACAAGTGCGACATCAGCTAGATTAGTGGCAGCCTCGTCTTTGTGTTCAATCGTTTCCTTTAATATAGATGCGCCGGTTTTCTTGATAGCAAGCACTGTAGCCCCCCACTCCCGTTCAGTTGCTTGATTTGATGTTAGTATTCATAATAGGAAATTGGGGACCTAGCTTTACTTACCATTTGTAGACCGGAAAGCCATTGAAATGTACGTATTGGGAGATTTCTTTTATCCAACAGTGGTAATTGCTCGATCAATTTTGTGTGGAAAGCGCGGTCAACTACGTATGTTGATGGCTCCTCAAAACGAAATTGAGGATCCTAGAATGTAATTCATCGTGAGTATACGCCGTAATAATGCCACAGGGTAAATCACGTACAATCGTTCGTTCCGATTAAGGCTGTCTCCTCTATCTGCTTTGTCAATCACTTCTTGACGTTGCTCCATCAATACGCCTGTTACATCCTTGCCATCTACAGTCCACTAAGGAGGTGTCAGTAAAATGGATGCTCCTTTGATGTTTAGCTTTCATACGAACCCGTGCTGTGTCATGCAATATATAGCTCTGTCTGTGGCCCCCAATCTTGATAGCATTCAGCTTCCTCTTTTTTGATTACACCCACTTTTGGATGATTCTGCACGCTACACAAAAAGTATGTGAATGAGGACACCCAAGCTTCTCGAAAATGCAAAGTTCTTTTACCTTTTCATCACGCAGGTTGCTATCAATACGAGAAGAAAATTGATGAATGAGCATCCTCGCTTCTTATTATAGTCTCTACTTACAATCTTCGTTGTACACGCTCAGCACTTTTAAGGAGGAGGGTTGCTGGCATGTACTCATGTCACCTACAAAGGAGTCTCAACCTTCCCATCAGTCTAGGCGTCCTTTTAGTACATAAGTGATAGTTGTACCTACCCCAAAAGGATTCATCAAAGAACACAGCGTAAAGCAATGATATGAGCTGCATAGATAAATGCATGAGTACCCTGATTTGGGGATCACATAATAAACAATATCCTTGAAACTTACCAAAAGCCATTGATGATGATATGCATTGTATACAAGTTGAAAGGGCGTATGATAGTGTTCATCCAAAGAGCCTTCTTTATATATGAGTTGGCGTGGGAATTGTTGTCATGGTTAATCGATCTGATAAAGTGGTCAAGCACCTTGGAGTACTGGGTCGAAGTGATGGAAAACCAACAGCTGATAAATCCACCTGCACAATACAAGCGTAGGAGAATCCCGACTGCCTTTCGTCTATTATCAGCATGTGTTCTAGAAAGCTTTAGGGAGGTCATAATATGTTGTGACGACCTTCTATGTCTATTCCCTCTTTTAAACCAGAAACCAACCAAGTGATCCACATATTGCCCGTACGAGCTGATAGCATGATACCCCAAATAGTATGTTCAATCCAATTTTCATTCAATCACAAAGTTGAAGAATAGTATATAGTAGTTGGGTGTCTATCAAGTAAATCTGGTAAAGGAACAGCATTGCAAATTGAATAAGATATGGGTGAATCACATAGAGGCAACAGGGATAATCGTGTCATTGCATTCTTGGTTGCTGCCGTCATAAACATCCTTCATCCATGACTGCAAAATAGCTGCCGCATGCATTAAATCGAGCATTCCAATACATCATCCACTGCTGTAGGACACCTTTCGTCAAAGAAAGACCTTTTGTCGACCCCATCCAAGCCATGATCATCCTCAGCCGTATTCACGTGATATGATCCATCCTTCCTGCTGACGACGCGACAAGTAACCAAAGCAACATTCCATGATTCACCATCACTGCACTTGATTGCATCCCTTCATCCATAACCATTGCAAATCCAATACGTTGGTTGAAAAGAGCCGTGTTATCGCTGCATGCTCCCTTCTCCATCCACCTATGGGTCTCTCTTTCTACGTCTGTTTCCATCGCTGCTCAACCACGTGAAGAATTGCTTGTATTGCTTGATAGCTGATATGGCATCATCCATTGGTATCCGTATGTATCAATGCAAGTTGCTGTACGTAAATAACGCGACTTCTATAGAACGCCTATCTGCTGTTCATGTACAAAAGGACTGCAAGGCAGTGCTGCAAGCAAAGAAGGCTGTTCGAGACAATGAAATAAAGACCTTCATGATAGCAACTGCTGCTACGTTTGTCGTGGCAGAGGAGTGTGCAAGAGAGCGCGTGTTGTAGTAGAGTGAATGAGTGAAGGCTATGCTGATGGCAACTGCTGGAATGAATGTCGTTACGATGGGTTGTGGCAAAGGAGTATGCAATGAGAGTGCGTAGCATCAAGGAATGCGTGTGTTGTAGCAGGGTGACAAGAAGGCTGTGCACACGCCATGGACTTGCCATTCAGTCAAAGACAATCGGATCGCGACAGTTGTTGGATCGACATGGTGGGTCGAAGCAGGACAATCGATCAGAGGCGGTAGTTGTACTTGAATGGTCAACAATTGAGAATGGAAAGGAGATAAGAAGCTGAGAGTGGAAGAGCTGGGAAATCAAATGAGTCGAATGGATGTTGAGTGATATTTGTGTTGCACAATCAAATCCCTCGAATCAAGAAAGTTGAACGATGGAGATGATGGGCTGGAGCAAGACAATCGTTCACATGCATTGGGTTGGGTAAAAAAGGCGAATGGAAGGAATGGGCTATCAAGTGGCAGTTTACAAATAACTTTGCATAATGATTTTTGTGATCTTGGATGATGCTTCTGTGTTTGACCGTAACTCATCCATTTCAGGTCGGATCAAGAAAGTTGAAGGATAGAGATGATGAGCTGGAGCAGGACAATCGTTTGTATGCATTGAATTGGGAAACAAAGATGATTGGGAGAAAGTGGCTGTCAGCTGCCAATGATGAGCTGTTACAGAAAGTATCATCCATGCCCTTCCAATCCTGCATGATGGGCTGAGTTACACAAACAAGCGGTCCTGCATCTTTTGCTCTATTATAGTCATACTACTTTACATTAGAGAATGGCTCTTCCCGCCAAAAGTCAGAAACAACAGGGGCACAAGCCACC